CGGCAGCACGCGTGATAGGGGCGCTGGGTCCGTGGCACTGGGGGGGTGCGTTGCTGATGTGACTCCCGTCACGTCGTTATCACGTGATGGTCCAACCTGGTTAACGCGCGTGTGTGTATGCATGTATGTATGTGCTTGTGCGGTATCGTTCCCTTGTGTGGCGTACCCGCTGCAGGCTACGACGGGGGGTGCTGGCCACTTGGGAGGCACCTGCCCGGGGCAGGAGAAGCAGCAGGTGGGTCCGCCTTGCATGTTGGGCTTAGTATGGGGGGGAGTAAACCCTGCCGTTAACGGCAGCACGCGTGATAGGGGCGCTGGGTCCGTGGCACTGGGGGGGTGCGTCGCTGATGTGACTCCCGTCACGTCGTTATCACGTGATGGTCCAACCTGGTTAACGCGCGTGTGTGTATGCATGTATGTATGTGCTTGTGCGGTATCGTTCCCTTGTGTGGCGTACCCGCTGCAGGCTACGACGGGGGGCGCTGGCCACTTGGGAGGCACCTGCCCGGGGCAGGAGAAGCAGCAGGTGGGTCCGCCTTGCATGTTGGGCGTAGTATGGGGGGGAGTAAACCCTGCCGTTAACGGCAGCACGCGTGATAGGGGCGCTGGGTCCGTGGCACTGGGGGGGTGCGTCGCTGATGTGACTCCCGTCACGTCGTTATCACGTGATGGTCCAACCTGGTTAACGCGCGTGTGTGTATGCATGTATGCATGTATGTATGTGCTTGTGTGGTATCGTTCCCTTGTGTGGCGTACCCGCTGCAGGCTACGACGGGGGGCGCTGGCCACTTGGGAGGCACCTGCCCGGGGCAGGAGAAGCAGCAGGTGGGTCCGCCTTGCATGTTGGGCTTAGTATGGGGGGGAGTAAACCCTGCCGTTAACGGCAGCACGCGTGATAGGGGCGCTGGGTCCGTGGCACTGGGGGGGTGCGTCGCTGATGTGACTCCCGTCACGTCGTTATCACGTGATGGTCCAACCTGGTTAACGCGCGTGTGTGTATGCATGTATGTATGTGCTTGTGCGGTATCGTTCCCTTGTGTGGCGTACCCGCTGCAGGCTACGACGGGGGGCGCTGGCCACTTGGGAGGCACCTGCCCGGGGCAGGAGAAGCAGCAGGTGGGTCCGCCTTGCATGTTGGGCTTAGTATGGGGGGGAGTAAACCCTGCCATTAACGGCAGCATGCGTGATAGGGGCGCTGGGTCCGTGGCACTGGGGGGGTGCGTCGCTGATGTGACTCCCGTCACGTCGTTATCACGTGATGGTCCAACCTGGTTAACGCGCGTGTGTGTATGCATTATGCATGTATGTATGTGCTTGTGTGGTATCGTTCCCTTGTGTGGCGTACCTGCTGCAGGCTACGACGGGGGGCGCTGGCCACTTGGGAGGCACCTGCCCGGGGCAGGAGAAGCAGCAGGTGGGTCCGCCTTGCATGTTGGGCTTAGTATGGGGGGGAGTAAACCCTGCCGTTAACGGCAGCACGCGTGATAGGGGCGCTGGGTCCGTGGCACTGGGGGGGTGCGTCGCTGATGTGTACCAGTAATCC